GAAATATCCTGAGACCAAAAAAATACCCACTGAGGGGAAAAAAGAGAGGGGGCATTTTTCTGGGTGAGCCTCCTCCAGAAATCAAGGCTTTGAAATTTGACCATCTCTTTTTTTTCATCCTGCTATGTTTTGCTGCTAGTGTCATCTGCATGCATCCTAAGTGTGTGGTGGGTTTGCAGTGAACACATAGTCACTATGTGTTACCAAGGAACAGAATGACAGCAAAAAAAAAAAGAAAAGAAAAAAGAAAGAAAAGAAAAAGAAAGAAAACCCAGGTTTTAAAATCAAATGCAGCATTATGCATTTGAGTTGAGGAATTCAAGTGTATTATTGAAACTTAACTGGGGTTGGTCTGGCATGGTAAGACATGGTAAAGAAACTATGTCCTTTTTAAAATTTTTTAAACTTCACTATAAAAAAACTTGCACATAAAAATAAAAACATTGTACGCCATAATTAACCAGACCTAAAATCTATACAACTCTCCGAATTTCTATACAATTAGAGTAGGCATCTGGAATGGAAGCTGTGGAGCTCCACATTAAACTTTACACTTTCAATATCAAATATATTTATGGACTTATCCTCCACCCAAAACAAAAAAAAATCCACAGTAGAATTAGATCTAGGAGAACAATTAACTGTATTGCCTCTTTTGTAACTCGTGCCATCACCTTCACATAGCCTCTCATTCTCTTTTCTTCATGTTATGTTCTACTCACGTGTATATGTGTTTACATATGTGTACACATATACTATTGGCTAGATTCTGCATATGAGAGGGAATGTATTTTTCTGAGATTTCATTATTTCTTTTAATATTACACATTCTTGGTTTATCCATTTTCCTACAAATTTTTAACTTATTTTGCTTATTTTGCTTTAGTGTATTCTGTTTTATATATACACACCAACATTTGATTATCCATTCATTGGCTGATGAACAACTAGGTTGATCCAATCCTTTGCTAAAGAGAATGAAGCATCAACAAACATGTGAGTGACAAGACCTCTATGGCAGGGTGTGAGGCTCTGTGGTTAGACTCTGCCCAGGACTGAAACATCAGGGACTTATGGTAGTTGTAGTTTTAACTTTTTTGAGAAATCTCTAAATTGAGTCCTACAATGGCTGTATTAATCTGCACATCCCATAACAGTGAATAAGCATTTCTCTCCAGATCTTCTCCAACATTCATTGTCAGATTAATTGATGATGGTCATTCTGACTGGGATGAGATAAGTTCAGAGCAGTTTTAATATATATTTCCTTGATGGTTAAGGACACTGAACTTTTTGAAACAATTATTGGTCATTTGTATTTCTTTTCCTATTTAGTTCACTTTTTTCATTTAGTTCACTTGCCTATTTGTTAATGAGCAGTTTTATTCATCTGGCAACTAATTTCTGCAGTACTTTGTAAATTCTGAATATTGTTCTTTGTCTGAAGTGTAGCCAGTAAAGATTTCTCTCCCATGCTGTGGCCTGTCTGTAATCCTACTGACTGTTTTCTTTGCTGTACAGAAACTTGTTTTCATCTGGCCCCATCTATTGACACTGAGGGTCAGTGCCTGGGCTGCTGGTCTTTTAGAAGTCCTTTCATGAATGTTTCAGCATGTACACCCAGCACATACATACGCATCTCTGCACATAAGTAGACATTCAGATGTGTTTATGTAGAGAATTAGTGCTGCTAGACAAGAATTGAAACTGTTCTGGGGTCCCTAGCACTCAGAGCCAATGAGGACAGTCGTGTACTCTTTCACAAGGTACATCTGTGCTTGTTCTGCCCCTAGAACACATTGCACACATGCTGCTGCAGGAGGCTTAAACTGCGTAATCAGGGTCTAGTCCCTGTTTCATTCCAGAATGTTACACACTTGGGGCCCGTGCCCTGGGACACTTGCAAACACCTGCATTTTAAATTTTGTTAAACATCATGTGAAACTGGATCAATGATCAACTAATGGACAAGTTCCCAATAAAAATTTAAAAGATAAATTGTAGGGGCTAGACATCTGGCTCAGAGATCAAGAGCCTGGTTATTCTTTCAGAGGACCCACATTCAATTTCACAACTGTCTATAACTCTAGTTCCAGGAATCTGACTCCCTCTTCTGGCCTCCTTGGGCACTAGGCATGCATATGATACATAGGCATAAGTGTAGAAAAAACATCCACACACATAAAAAATAAAATAAAACCCATATTTTAAAATCACATTATTTATTCCTGTAGTTTGTAATGATACATCTGTAAATATCAAGTGCTTCAAGGAGTCCTGCTGTGTTAGTCAGAACCCAGTTACTCATTTTCAATGTTTTGTTACTTTGGTTTGTGTGTATTCACATACACATATGTGTGCATGCACACATGAGGAAGCCACAGGACAAACTGTGGAAGTCAGTTCTCTCTCTCTCTACTGTGTGGATCCTATGGATTGACTTAGGTCAAAAGGTTTGTCAACAACTTCCTTTACCCGATGAGCCATCTTGGAGCCTAGAACAATCAGTATCATTCTGAAAGTATCTCAAATATGATAGTGTCTCTACTTGGTGTTCATGCACCTAAGACTACCACTAATCTGGAAACACCAAAGTAGGAAAGCCACTGACAAAGAATTGGAAGTGAAAATGTTTGGGATCAGGCAGCTAGAAAAATATGTGTCTAAGGGTTCAGCTGTCTTATGTAGGGAGAAGCCATGGATTTGGAACTGTTTTATTAGTACTACATTCTGGATGTGTCAAATCCTTCCCTGACTATGCAATTTAGCCTAGCTCCTCTTCTTCATCCTCTTTAAAGAATTAGACATATCATTTTTAATTATTCAGACAACTATTGAGATCTAAGATTGTGTTAAGTTAGCAAACACACTCTGGGATGACTCTCTAAGAGTGAAATAGAACACAAGCATGATGAAGAAGAAAAGGGAAAAGGGAGGGGTACTCAAGCTGGGGAGAGGGGATGGAAATAATACAGATGGGGAGATAAATAACATTAAGGATGTTTGAAAGGGGTCATAGGGAAACATTATTTTATAAGATTACATAAAATTCATATATAATACACAAAAGACTTAAGACTATCTAACAAAGTTCCACTGCCAACCATGGGAAGCCTCCTTTTCAATTTTTGGCAGGGAAGTCCAAGAGACTCCAAAAACACATGGGCTACTTCCATTGCCCTTGGCTGCCTCCTAGAACTGGAAGGTGTAGGACTCTGTTGGTTAAGACACCACACACCTCAGTCACAGGACTTAGAGGAATCAGCCTTGCAACAGACATGGAAGCCTCCTTTCTGAGGACTAACTCTTATAGTATCCAAAGGTGCCATGCAAGATATCAAAGGAGAAAAACAACTAACAGTCCTGCCTTTAAAGCCCAGGCCCCACAACAATTATCTGTCCACCAATCATTTAACTTCAACAGTACAATAGTGGTACTCATATCTTGGAGGATAACCAACAGCTGTGTGGACTTGGGGTCCTCACTAGGATGGAGTTCATGTCTAGTGCTATAAATCTAGCCACCTATATGTGACTGAAGAGGTCACAAACCCTAGAAGAGATCCTACTACTGTCATTTCCCTAAACCAATATAATTTCTAATTGTATTCCAAACACTTATCTTCATACCCACAGAAAAGTGTAAGCTCTCACCTCTCATCAAAGAACTTCTTTTTGCAGCTGACAGAGGGTACTACCCGAGTAGTACAAGTGCTCAAAATGCAGAGAACGTGTAACCCTGGGGTTTCAGCCTTGTTGGTACACATACAATACAACACCTATACCTAAGGCTCAGAGAACATCTTGGAAAAAGGATGGAAAGATTTTAAGGGGCAGAGGACTGGGATCCCTGCAGTTAGACAATGTTTTGTAGTCATAATATCTCAACAACATGGTTGCCTAAACAGGAACTGTACAATGATACCAGTCAACACATCAAGTTGGATAGAGGAGATTTCATAAAGTCACACCCCAGATGAAGAGCTACAGGCAATACATGTCTACTCAGAAAGGGAGAATCAGTCTTCCACAGGGACCATCTCCCTGACAGATTATCGAATCCCAAGTGGTCAGCCACGAACATCTATGCATAAAGAGCACTGCTAAATGGGCTCTGTAGGTTGTATTTATACATATGCACATACACATATAACAAAACCAATTACAGAAGAAGAGATCAGAAACTTGAAAGGGAGTGGGATAACACAGGGAGGGAGAGAGGAGCGGAAACTGTAAAAATGTACTTAAATGAGATTCTCAAAAACAATTCAAAAAGAGTCAATGGCTAAATACAAAGCATACATGTATAGTGTAAAATTACAATCATAAAAACCACAGAAGGCTAACAAGAAGGCTAAATGAGGACTGGTGACCTGGCCTTGATCCCAGGGATCCACATGATGGAAGAAGAGAGCCAACTCCCACAAGTTGTCCTCTGACATCCACATGAGTGTGGTAGCAAACAAGGGCCTCCCATCTCCAAATAAATACATGTAATACAAATTATTTTAAGAACAAAAATAATACAGAGGTCTAAAATTGGTTAGATGGTTTCATTAAGAACTATACAATAAGAAATTTAATCTTAATACCAAATATTGCCAAGCCTGGCAGCACAGGCCAGTCAGTAATCTCAGCTACCTGGGAGGCAGAAAGAGAAGGATTTCAAATTCAAGGACAGCCTGGGAAACCTAGTGGACTTATCTCTCAGAGCCTAGGATACAGCTTATTGGTGAAGTGTATGTTCAAAGCCCTAGCTAGGTTCAACCTCAGAGAACAGATACACAGGGGAAAAATGAATGATACAACTAGAAAGGGAAGAGCATGGAAAGGAAGAGAATGGGGGTGGGAAAAGGGAAAGGTTATGAGAATGTGGTCCTATCGGAGGAGCCAGTGATGAGCATTGATACTGTCCTCATCACCAGGAACGTTTCTTTCTGAAAGCATGAAGGCTGGAATCGGTGTTCCCCCTTTACTTAACAAGAGGATTGGATTCTTACCTTCAAAGTCCACATCTCCAACTAATTTCGTCTTTCCAGTTGTAGGATCTTGAACATAGTTGATACCCACATCAATGACAGCTGCGCCTTCTCTAACCATATCAGCTGTAATCAATCTGGGAATACCTGCGAATGGAAGAGTTGTGAGACACTTGCATTTTGTCCTGTACTTAGACTTTGTCCTATATTTTAAGAGAATGTAACTATACTCTTTGCAAGTAAGAGGCTAACTTCACTCTGATTCTAGATCGTCGGGCAGAAGGACAAAAGACGATGAAGGAACTGCATCGGACTTTTGAGGAGCAACCGGCCTGAAGCAGCTCTCCTCTCAGACTGCTTACCTGACCTGACGAGTTTGAGCAGCATCCTTTTGTCTAACACGGAATCACAGGGATAAGGTAGGCTCCTGCTGTTTCAGAGTAGAGTGAAAGCAACTTGGGAATTGAGAAGAAGGAAATAGAAGGGGAAGGAAATCTGTGATAATCATAATCTGTACTCTCCACTGTGTGGTAAGCAGTACCAAGTTGGTATCTTACCAGTTCCACACAGACATGTCCCCTTGCAGGTAGCTCCTGAATATAATAAATTTAATATGACATCCTTTTTTTAAACCTATCTACTCTGTGATTAAAGGCCTTCTTCTAGCATCCCAACTGTCCATTTGAGCATTCCAAATGGCTTAAATGTCACCTTGTGACATACAGTTCTTGGTGTAGGTGAGATCTTCAAGCCTATAAAAAGGTCAGTGCTAATACAGATGTAGCTACCACAGATGTTTGTTCCCTAACTGCAGAGGCACCAGCATCTGAGATGTGTCTTCCTTATATCCCAAGCTGTGATAAGGACTTCATCCTTTATCAGTCTCACAGAGGCACTGACCAGACTTCCCTCAGCTTCTAAAAATAGCCATGAAATCCTGTTTCTTCTTTGTATAAGAAAAGAAGACGTAACACTGGTTACAACAGCAGTGGACTTCCTCAAATGACAGCATTTGTGGAATAGTTATTAAAATCCGGCTATTACACTCTTTTTTTTTTTTTGGAACAAATATATTGGTATGCATTTGTGGAATAGTTATTAAAATCCGGCTATTACACTCTTTTTTTTTTGGAACAAATATATTGGTATTTTTTTTATTGAACTGAGTACATCTAAAATGTTATCTAATGCATGTTAAATTAATCCATATAAAAGGTTTTTCATTTTACACATTCCCCCCCCCCTTTTTTTGAGACAGGGTCTTGCTTCATAGACCAGGTATGAAATTTGAGATGTATCTTCCACAATCCCACAAGTACCAGTAATGACAGGTGTGCACCACTGTAAACCGCCCACAAAAGCTATTGATGAGAATTCTATTATTTTTCTTCACCAAGTCTTCAAAATCCAGTTTATAATTTATGTATGAATCACATCTGAATTAGATTGTGAATTCTCATCAGACATATATTTGAGTCATGTTCTAGAGTCCATGTTTTAATCTGAATAAATAAAAACATCAATGTCAGGGAAGACTGAGATCATTGATTGCACTTACCACATTTCTAGGACCTTCTAGCCACCCATGGTAAGTTGCTAGTGTATTAGATAGCACAGGGATGGTGAAAAAACTGAGTTGTTGTCACAGACATAGCAACAAGTGTTTCCACTCAAAATTGGAGCAGAACAAAACCAAGAAGAGATAAATGCGATCTTAGAAAGAAACATGGTCAGTGTGATGGGAGAGTTGGTAAGAAAGCAGTTGGAGACAGGCTAGAACCATGTAGGAGTGTCTAAGTGGGGGACATTGGAAGGGAGGAAGATGAGCTAAGATAAGGTAAAGGAAGAAGGAAGGAGAGAGACAGAGACAGAAAGAGAGAGGCTTTGTTTTCAATAGAGATTCAAAACCATTATGTTGCCCACACGCAAACAAACCATGCAGGATTGGTTCTCCAAAGAGGAATAGGAAGTAGATCTGGGTCCTTGAAAGGTTAGAGAAAGAGAGAGAGAGAGAGAGAGAGAGAGAGAGAGAGTTTGTCAGTGTGAGTGTGTGTGTGTGTGTGTGTGTTGAAATTTCTGAGTTTATTCATTGGTTCTAGGAGGATTTTATTTCTGTTTGATTTCCCTGGGATTCTCTATGTTGATGATCACAGTACACATAAATAATTTTTTTGTCATTGTTGTTGTTGCAATCTCTAACTTGCATTACTTTTTCTTCCCTTGCTTTGTTCCATAATGTCCAGTATTATGCAGAATAGGAATAGTAAAAGCAGGCATCTTTTTGTTATCTTAGAAAAAGAACTCTTCACTATTCGTTACAACATTTGCTGTGAATATTTTGGAGATGTTTTCTATCAAGTGGAAAGAATTCTCTTAATTTCTGTTTTTCTGCAAGTTCTGTAATAAATTAATAGGATTTTTGTCGACTAAATTTTTATTGATTTAAGTATGTGATTTTTTCCTTCTTTAGACTAAGCATGATAAATTATGGTGAGAATCAAATGTTAATTTCAATTGCATATCCTTAGAAAAACCTTATCTTAGTTATACATGATATAACTAGAATATAAAAGTTCAATAATGTTAATAGGTTCATGTTATATAATGCACACATTAGTGAATTATATTCATTTTTTAAAAGAATTTTAACATCCATGTTCAGGAGTAGTACAGATCTGTTGTTTTCAGTTTTGTGTGAATTTGGTTTGGGGGTAATATTGGTTTAGAAAATTACTTGTTAAATATTCTGTCCCTCCTGTTAGCTAGAAGAGATTATATAGTATAAACTCTTATTCTTTAATCTTTTTGTAAATTCTCCAAGAATGACTGAGAATAGAAGTTTATCGTAAAGAATTTTGAGCAAATGAAATCTCAAAGCCCCTCTTTCCTTCATAAGAGCTCCAGGATGTTTGCAAACAAGTAGATTGCCCCTTGAGACTGCTCCCTCTGGATTCTTCTTTGAGACTACCCTCTCTAGATTCCCCTTTGAGACTGCCTTCTCAGGCTGTTGCCTTGTATGTATGTGAGGCTATTACACTCTTAAGCCAATGTTAAAATCTACATTTAAGTACTATGATATCCCAGACAATATCAGACTGGCAATAGACAGAAACCATAAATATTAAAATACAAGGAAATTTGAACTGCATTTTAATTTCAAGAAAATTACAAAAAGGAAAAAATGTTATTTGTTTCTTTTTTCTGATAAAGACGCATGTCCACTGTAGACACTTTGAATAATAGTCAAAAGTTTAAGAACAAAATAAAAGTAAGAATTTTCCTAACATCAAAAGATAACAAGAATTAGAATTTTCACTGTGTTTCCTTTTAGAATTTCAAGATATTTATTTAATAGATATAAAATATGACTGCCCGAGTGCTGGGATTAAAGGTGAGCTCCACCAATGCCCATATATATATATATATATATATATATATATATATATTTTTATCTTCATCCTTAAATCTAAACTGTGATCCTTTCCTATTTCATCAATTAATTGAAACTGAAAAATTAGATCAAATAACTCATCAAGTGAATTACTGTTATTCCTGCACTGTTTAGAAAATTCCAATATTTTATATTAATAGGTCATACAGGGATGGTTACTTGTATTCGAAAACCATGGATAAATTTTGAAGCATCACATTTGCTGAAATTTTCCACAGGGCCTTTGATAACAACTCAAAATAATGGGTGTAGAATGAATGTACCTACTGAAAGAGCAGTAAGTAGTTAAATAGTACATCCCTACACTGCTGATAACTGTGCCTATAACAACATCCACAGAAGCCCATAGAAGCCTTTGTCTGAATTATTCACCAGCACCTCCTTCACAGTATTTATCAAGAGCTTGGAAACACACATTGGCACTGTGATGATGATATCCTCTTTGTTCTCTTGCTTTCCTTCCCATCTTATTCTGCCCTATGTGGTGTCAGGGCTGGGGATGATCATACACAGCACGTATGTACCTCCTTGCTCTCTGGGACCCTGTCACAACTGAGAAAACAGGCTCAAGCTAGCCTACTGGAGCACATGATTCCTTAGATGGGGACAAGTGACTCCATCTGAAGCCTATCTACACTGGTCAGTTTCCAGCCAACCACTAGCTGATGGCAGATGGCTTGAGCCTCCCAGCAAAAGCAGGTAATAGGATCAAAGCCACCACAACCAGCTGAACCACAGACTCTCAAAAATTGTTTGTAAAAATGTGTTGGTAAAACAGTTGAGATTTGGGACATGTTAGTATCAATAGCTGATTGGGCCATATTTTAATATAACACAAAACTGGATACAATAGCAAGTAGCTCACCACTTTGGAATGATGGATTCCAAGCTCCAAGAAGAATTTGAAAGGAAAATAATGTATAATTCTCAATAGGTGTCGAACACGGTTAAAATTCACTAAGATTGAAGAAAAACTGTGTTCATAAGTAATGCTGTAGTGTTTCCCCTACTTGTTTCAGAAGGCTTCCCCCATAAAGTGGCTTGCATCCAAAGCCTGGTCCAGAGCTGGATCATCTCAGAAAGCAAGGTATACATACTACATGTTCACAGCCAAGACTGCGTTTGTCGGGGTCATGTGAGAATTCTGAGTGCTTGGGAGAAAACTCAAAGAAACCAAGACAAGACTTGTCTTGTGATTGCAGTTTCTTCAAAACCCGGAATTGTTCTTGGAAAGTGTTTTCATGTTCCTCCTAGGTTTGGCAGATAGGAGTGAGTGTACTTCATTATTCATTACAACTGGCTATCATTATTTGTTTATATGCCTCTATGGAAAATCATATTTTTCCACATATGCTTCTCTGACCCGTGAGACTTGCCCTTGGGACTGTACATTTTACTCACGTGACTCCTCTTAACAGTCAGAGTATAAACGGCTTGATGCTCTGAGTAAAGTCGGCTGTTGCAGGAGACTTTAGTTAGCCTCCCTTTTTGGCTCCATTCTACCAGGCCCCACCGCCTCTAAAGTGGTAAATAATTCTTCAATATGTTAACTGGAATAAATGGTAGAATTACTCTCTATGGTTTCAGACTGAGGAATGAAAGGATGGCACACAAAGGAAGATGGTAGACCTGAACTCAAATATTTTAAGAATAATAAAATAAGCTACAATGAAAAATGTATACTCTTTTTATTCTTCAACAGAAATGTTCAGAAGGGAAAGAATGAAATTGGAAGAGTTTCTTGTAGAAGTACCTTCAAGTGGAATTTGACTAACCCAGCTCTATACCTTCCCATCTATAAGTCTCACAAAGTCCTAAGGGTGGGACATCCTCAGATAAAGAGGCAGCATCTGAACAGCCAGACTTTATCTTCATCTCTCTTGGAACAGTGTCTGTAGAGCTCACATGCAAAGATCCGAGTGGCACCACAGTAAAC